CACATAATGTAGAGTTTATCTCCTATATAGATGATCTACTTGAACATACAATAAAATTGTAAGCCTAATATATTACCAAGATATCACGTAAAGTAGAGTTTATCTCCTATATAGATGATCTACTTGAACATACAATAAAATTGTAAGCCTAATATATTACCAAGATATCACGTAAAGTAGAGTTTATCTCCTATATAGATGATCTACTTGAATATACAATAAAATTTTCTTTGGTACCATGAAATTATTCAAAGTGTTGTTTAACCATTACAAGTATTGTGCTGCTAGTGGTGTCTACTGACACGGTTTTCAGGTTACGGAAAGTAGAATCTTGTGTAGAGTGTGCTTCATCTCTCTGTTCTTGAATTATTCAGTTGATAAAATAACACAAAACCCTCCAGCACTTATTATTAACAACCTTACAAGCTAGCTACTGGTGACAACAATGAAATAGCACCGAGTTCACACCATGTGTTAATGGGCATGTATTTAAAAAGCAAACGGTCAGTTTTGGCACATGCAAGCAGAACTTACCTGAAAGCAGCAATGTACTCAGCGTCTCCCATGGGAGGATTAAGTCCTCCAGCCCAGGGGATGTTCACATTGAACCCCACGCCATCACCAGTCCCCACCTGTCCCAAAAAATCAGACAATTCTACAACGAAAGCCAAAATTAAATTAATAGAAAAACTAAGATCTATGATAACAAGCAAAGTGTTACAGGAGAGACTACAAAAGGTTATGGGAAAATAATAATGACATGAAACAACTGGGTTCAGAAAGAAAACAGACAACAACAAGTGTACAAGATGAAATATGTAGAAAAACAGCTTACAAGAGTGGTTATCTGAGTTGTTGAGAAGTGTTAACTCTTTAAGCTCAGATGTTAGAACACTCACATGGAGTGAGAGATCTTAGATTTGATATTGAGCATAGGAAATAATTAAAAACAACACATTTTGGTAAATTACACAAGAATAATGTTATTACAAAAAACAGTGTAAAGGAAGGATTACGTGTTATTCCAAAAACCAGTGTTATGAAAGAATGACGTGTTATTACAAAAACCAGTGTTATGAAAGAATGACGTGTTATTACAAAAACCAGTGTTATGAAAGAATGACGTGTTATTACAAAAATCAGTGTTATGAAAGAATGATGTGTTATTACAAAAATCAGTGTTATGAAAGAATAACGTGTTATTACAAAAACCAGTGTTATGAAAGAATAACGTGTTATTACAAAAACCAGTGTTATGAAAGAATGACGTGTTATTACAAAAACCAGTGTTATGAAAGAATGACGTGTTATTACAAAAACCAGTGTTATGAAAGAATGACGTGTTATTACAAAAACCAGTGTTATGAAAGAATGACGTGTTATTACAAAAAACAGTGTAAAGGAAGGATGACGTGTTATTACAGAAACCAGTGTACAGCAAGAGAATGTTATGTAAAAAAATTCTGAATATGCAGATCAGCAAGTTGCATGACAACCATAACTGATGTAAAGTTGCAGTGGAACAGCATTTACCAAAACTACACTGTTTGACATTTTTTAGACAGTGTGATGCCACCAAAAAACTTATTGCTTTTTGGTATGGTATATAACAGCCCTTTCCAACAAAAAATATTCATACACTCAGGTCATAAAGATGTTTTCAGATTGGGGATATCCTTTGTACTTAAGTATATTGGAAAACAAAGGAATATGAATCAACTTGGGGCACCAGGACCATCCAGAAAGAGAACTGCAACAAGCCTTAGTGCAGTTGTAATAAGCAAATTAAGCAGCATCTTGTAACAGGTGAGAAGCTATGAACACAAAGGTCAGTGGGAAAAACTGTAAACTTGACCAAAGCAACATAATCAACAAGGATCTCCATCTGGAAAAGCAACACAAGTTGCATACACAAATATATTAGTTTCACTGACACATACCTCAATCAACTGAAGAATGAAACAGGTATTCACACTATTCCATATGAAGACACACCAGTAAAGCTGCTAAATGCAATGCCTATGGATTTGTGTGCTATTTGACTGTTAAAACAGATGATGGGAAGCTAGTGTCCTTGTACAATAGATTGCTCATGGAAAGCTGGGGAAGGGGGAAGTGTGCTTAAAACATGACAACCTTATAATGGAGCCTTTTGCATTGTAAGCTGTGTTATTAGTTATGTCAAAGGCCCATTTTAAAGACACATGGTTGTCAGGTGGAGCATGCCTGGACCTGATGTTATGGATTGTAATGATGTGACGAAGCTCCAAGAAGGTTTAAAATATAAGGTAATCAACCATTGTACAGGAAGAGTGACGTAAAACTTAATAAAACATAGTAAAGGACTAGGCGTGATAAGTATAAATTTTGCCAAGTTAGGAGTCATCTTCAGCTACGACAGTTTTATTTTTCTAACAGGGTGGTTGGCTTTTGGAATGGGTTGCTTTCGGATGTTGTGGAAGCAGTAAATTTAAGTGAGTTTAAGATTTTTTTAAATTTACTTATTTAATAGTTTGAGTTTAGTTTAGAGGACGAGATAGCCAAGATGGACCACTAGGTCCGTTGTTGTCGCTAAACATTATGTTATGCTAAGAATGACGTGGAATTACTGCAGACTGGAAGGTAATATGGGAAAAACAGCATTAGAAGTAGAACAGGTAAAGAAACATACATTTAGTTTGGTTTAGTTGTTTTAAAGCAGAGCCACATTGGGCTATCTACTGTGTCCAACATAGAGAATCAAACCCCAGATTTTAGTACTGTAAGTCTGTAGACTTACTGTTGTCCCACTGGGGAACAAAAAACATAAAAATATTATTAACAGGGAATTATGCAAATCAAGGTTAATACACAAAACTGGTAAATAATCATGCAAACATGAGTTATAATACAAAAAAAAAAAACAGAATTATACAAATCAGAGTAATAACTCAGAACTTTTCACAGTCACAAATGTAATGCAAGAAAAAATACATGAAATTAAAACCAGGTTGAATAAGTTAAAAATATTGGTAGTAGCATGAAGATGAAACACTAACCTAGAAATGGACACAGAACATTTTAACAAAAAGATTTAAACATTAGTTGAAGTAGAAAGTGATCTTGTAATAACAAAGAAACATCCCTCCTTGATTCATAGATGATTAAACATGAGTAAAAATCTGGGTAAAAATATACAGGAGATGAAGTACATCATTAGTTACATCCTACAAAATTAAAAAGACAGATGCCTAAAATGCATTGGTTAATGTGTTCATTTCATCAAGGGAAAACGGCAGATATGAAAATGTAAGTCAAACAAGAGGGAACCTCAATAGCCGTGGCTGTAATTAGATCTTAAATTGGTCAAAAGATGGATATACGAGCTAAAAGTTTGTACTTGAAAAAAATGGCTCTGTTCAGATCATATGATTTGATCTGTTTGTTTTATAGACCTTTGATACCTTTCAAAACAAACAATATAGATCAAATCATATGATCTGAACAATACTGAACTGTTCCTTTGTAAATATTAAAGAACCTCACCTCTTGAAGACCACCTGTTCCTGGAAAGAAGTTCCCATCATCATGACGATGGAGAGAAATATAAAGAACTTGGGGATCATCATAGAAGATCTGCTGAAGTCCGTTGCCATGGTGAACATCCTTTGTATTAAATTAATCTACCTCAATATACACAAATTAATATCATGACACATTTCTAAAATATAAGAAATCCTACTGTTATACTTTAATTTGGTTTGTAATAATGATTGTTTGTTTCTTTGTAATTATGCACAAAGCTACACAATGAGCTTTCTGTGCTCTGCCCACCACTGGTATCGAAACCTGGTTTCTAGCGTCGTAAGTCCGCAGATGTACCGCTGTACTACTGGGGGGGCCGTAATAATGAACATACTGACAAACGTGAACACAATGCTGCCACCTATATTGTAATATTTACAATACCTATCAAAATTGGGATTTACTAAAATTAAATAAATTGAAATCAATGAAGATGATAATGTTTTATTTTATGTGAAACATACAAAGTCAGTCCACATACCATATCCAATACAATAATTTAAAATGTACATCTACTCAAAGCAATACCAAGAGGACAAATGAACTTTTTTGATTGGTTTAGCTTTGTCTTTGCATGTCCAAAGTTTGGTGAATAAAAACTTAAATATTTTATAGCTTCGTCTCGAATAACATCCCACATAATTCTTCGTTTCTACGACAAAGCACTCTCCTGTTCATGATAATGCTTGATAAATAGCAAACTTTTCCTGATTACTAAACAATAATTGGCTGGATAGTGGAAATTTTACTAACGGAAACAATAAAAAACAACCACAGAGAAACCACGTATATCTTGTTTCTTGATTTACTTCATTATTCACATTTTTATTTGTAAAGAAACATCTGGAAACTTGTGATGAAAGTTTTGAACATTCTTACACAACAACGTATAGAAAAAAACATGCAAAAAATTACATTTAGTGAAAATATCTTTTACAAGAATAGCATAACTAAGTAGTCAATTAATTATATCTTAAGTTTTCAAAACATGTTGATCATAAGTCATATCCATACATATATATTGTTCTCTTATAACACAAGAACTGATTCTTACCCAGTCAACTATCAGAATTTTCTCTACTTTCAGCTTCTGTTGCAGTTGTCTTGCAGCAATAGCCAATGAGTTGAAAAAACAAAAACCCCTAGGATTAAAACAACAACAGGAAAACATTATATAACTATTGGTATTAAGTGTTTATTAGATTATGTGCAATATTCCCAATGAAAATCTATAATGAATTACATATTTTGTTAGATAGGTTCATAGAACTTGTTTCTAGTTGGTATACGGACACAGATCTTAACCTAAAATATCACAGAAATCACCGTGAACAAATTCTGGTACATAAAGGTATGAATGTTTAATTTAAAATTACATATTACGTTATAATTTCAATAAAAATTTTGATTTAGTATTCTAGGCTTCAGAATAAAATATATTGACTCAAACCCTGAATTTCAATGGTTTCTATGTTAAACTAACAATACCATAGTAAAAAGCTCTAAAATGTGGTTTGAAAAGCCCTATATTCAAAACAAAGTATAAGATTACATATTATTCAAATTTACTTCATAGATTTTCACTTTAAATATGCAGTATTAAACTGTTTAAACAGTTGTTCAGTTTATTCTTACAAATATAAAAATTATTTATAAATTCTTTCATAAAGTAACATTTATTACATTGAAAATAAATTTTATTTAGTAAGTTAGATTACTGATTAAAATATACCAATGATTACGACTGTCAACCTACATGGCCTGCTGGGATTCGGCATGGTGACCTGGAGGTCGAACAACGGCAAAACCGTTCTATAAAGATAAGACGTGAAACGCATTTGAGGTAAAAATGAAAATATAAATGCTTGATTAAATTGTTATTATAGTTTTGATTGACTTAACTTTATAGGATTTGAAAATCTGGTATTTATAATTCATGGGGAAAGAGAAAAATGAAGACCCACGAATATCACAAAAATTTTAATTAAGAAGTTGTTAAACTTGGAGTACTATAATTCTGTCTGGTCTCATTTTTCAAGTCAATTTTTAGACACATTTTATAAAGAAAAACTGACAAATTTCTGAAACACTAACAAGCAACAAATATTATTTAGTTAGCTTTAGAAATTAACCAACAATGAATAACATACAATTATCACTATACATAGTAGTGCAAATAATAAGTTTTTTTTTATTCTAGTTATGTTCTGGCCTACTAGCAGTAAACTTATTTTTTTAGTAATTCAGAAAAATAAATTTCGCTGTCACTTAGGAAACTATGCACGTGTTACTCTTTCTCATAACATCTAGCACCAAAACAAAAGAAAAACCTATCATAACTGTGCTACCAGTATTACCTTTACTTCCCTGGTGGCAACCTTAAGAGATAATTCAGTGACACACCCTGCTGCCATCCGGGCAGCACCTGCCGTATGCAGCTCATTCCAAATAGTGTCCAAGTCAACTCCTACACCACCACAGGGAAGTCTCACAAAGTTCTTTACTGGTAAATCTGAAAGAACATATGTAGCTAACATATAACAAGTTACTTTCATACGAACGTTGTATAAGAAGTCCTAGAGTACTGCTAGGTACAGTGAAGAAGGTCTAGAAGAGAGACAAAAAGAACACCAGTTTTCCATACGAATATTTATGCAACATGAACAATTATAACTAGATATCTATAGTATTTATGTCTATCTTTTAAGTTATTTTAAATACAATAGAATATTTAACAATGCGGAAAACACTTTTCGTTTATTTTTATTTTAAATGTTATTTTTAATTCACCAATGTGAAGCCCCACACAATCGTTTGTCGAGTGTTTTTTAAGCTTACACTATTGTTAAGACTAATTTTAATGAGCCAGAAACAGGCTTAATGTAATATAATTACCTACCAAACAATGTTAAATAAAAATAAGTATTCCCTACCAATATTTACTTGGATACTTTGGAGTCAAGCCAAAGATATATTTTACAGCAATATGACACAAACATGGCAACAGTAAATCCAACAAATCATAATCTACTGGGACGAAGTGATCCGATTGGTGGAACAGAACTTCATACATGTAAATTCTCTGCCAGTTTATGGCCAATGACAGTGTAATTAAAGTTTTTACATATCAATCAATCTCATGCATCAGGTAGCAATAGATCAACACTCACACACCTTTGTTTTTCTCTAGAGATTCAAGACAGTTCGGTCTCGTAATCATAACACTTATAGTATAAGTAGAGTTCACAATTATTTTCCAAACATGTTGCTTGGTAGTAGGTCTAGTTAAATGTTCAGTTGATTATCATACACATGATACACACTCTCGAATGAAAAAAAAACTCACCCAGCTTGTTCAGGTCTAGTTTTTGTCTGTTTAAAGGATTTGTACCAAACAACATGGTGTAGGCTTCACTAGATGAGATATGAGAAACTGGAAGTTAAAGTCTGTTCATTACTCAGTTCGTTTTATCTTAGCAGAACTGTATTTGAGAATTTAAGATTAGCATAACACTGAATAAACTTGAATACTGGAAATATGACCACAGAGTAATTAATTATAATTTCTACAGCTTCAAAACATTTTAAAACAAACTTCTGTATACTGATTGTAGAATTATATTAGATAAATTTTTATGCAATAATTTTATTACTCCAAAATTTCATAATTAAGATAACTTCTACAAGCTTGATTTGAATATGTTTAATGGTTTTAAAGAATAAGTTTTCCAGTTTGATCATAAGGTTCTGTACGCGTATGTTACAAGTGTAGGTCAAATGCCGTTTACTTAAAACGTTTTTTAAGTTCTGGGATGAAAAGTAAAAATTTCAATGACATGACATATTTTTAATATATTTCAACTTTCTAACTTTAAGAAAAATGTACAACAAAACCATATAGGTCACCCTAAAGGAAAGAACAGAATTTCATAAGATACTGTTGAAATCTGTTCCAGCGGCACCCACGGGGGGACGCAGTATACGCACATACAAAATTTTCTCGTTCGTGCCTGAGGAGCCGTGAGAAAGTAATAAATATTCCCAGTGTCTGCCTGTGATAATGTGTCTTTAGATCTCAGCCAGTGTTGTTTTATGGGTTTTATTTGACTGATTAGATTCATCGATATCTGTAGTCTGTACAACAATATGAAATATGATTGCATTTATTTCTCAAACTGACTTTTATTGTCATTTCACTTGTACACTGTTCATGCACAGTTCTCATGAAGAGTGTTTTCCATTTTTCCTTAAATATTTTGGAATAAAAGTATGCAATTATGTTGTAGTTTTTATTGCCACTGACTTGCGTGATAATCTAGACACTCTTTCTGCACTCTTAAAACATACCTCCGGAGTACGATGGGTAACAATCGGCTTACTGGACTTGCTTTAACGAATGTTCACCAGGAAGTATTGTCGTCCTCTTAGAAAATGAGTAAATCTAGTGTAATTTCGTGTTTTAAACTTTTAAAAAAAATTTGTGTAATGTTCATATGCGATTTGTACTGCATATCATTGATTTTGTTTGAATAGTATTTCCTTAATAAACCTGTACAAAAATGTGTGTATATTTTTGGGGGGGGGGGTCTTCAAGCACCACTGACCTGTGCTATTATTGGACAGGTTCTTCTGGACTATTTGATAAATCAGGATGCATGATGATACTGAATTTATTCAATAATGTTTGCTATTCAGTAACTCGCTACCCATTAATGATTGCTTCACTGCGTCTCATACTTAGACTGTTCCCTAGTTTTTGCCCCAAACTACTATAAACACCTTAGTTTTCATGAACTTTCTAGATATATTGCATTATCTTCGTGATTAGCTCCCTCTAGCAGAAATCTAAATTAAAACATTGAAAATATAGCTTACAACAATATGTAATGAAGATATTTTATAGGTTTGAACAGGATGAACTAAAATTTTAAAGATTCTCCACGTTTAAAAACTCAGTCAGTTTAAACTATATTCAGCAGATGAAAATACTATAGAATCTTAACAGGTTTAAAGAGTGAGTTCTAGGAAACCCATAAAATCATTTATAATACCCTGTTCAAGTGGAATTAACCAAACATTTGTTGACACCCTTTCTTTTGCCATTCAGTGCTACGAAACAAGTACACTGTGAAACCCATTTATTTGTTTTAACTTTACCTTAAATTTCTCTGGATTTTGTCTGTTTGTTTGTTGAATTTTGTGCAAAGCATTAGTCATCCCTAATTTTGAAGTTATAGACCAGAGGGAAGGCAGCTAGTCAACATCACCAACTGCCAACTTTTGGATTATTCTTTTACTAATGAACACTGGGATTGACTGTCACATTATAATGCCCCCATGGCTGAAAGGGCAAGTATATTCCATAACATGATACAAACCAACAACCCACAGGTTGAGAGTCAAGTGCCCTAACAACCAGGCCTTTCTCAGAATTATAAAGACAGATAAATTAGACAACTGGAAAAACTTGTAAAGACTAATTGTATATTTAAGTGGGAAGAAAGTTTATTACTCTTCTCAAAATGTTTTTGGCATAAAAGATCAACGTTCTTTAAAATGATTAGTATCTTTGTGACATAAAAAAATATTTTGACATGAAAGATCCACGTTCTTGTAAATGATTGGTATCTTTAAAAAAATATTTTGACATGAAAGATCCACGTTCTTGAAAATGATTAGTATCTTTGTGACATAAAAAACTTTTTTTTGATGCAATAATGTAACTAAAGATTTCTTTAAACTTAAGAAAAATATTTTAGAAAAAATGTCAGTTTAAACTTTTATAAAAGTTCTTACCTATGACAAGCCTGTATTTCATTAAAACTGGCTTTTCTTGCTTTCACCCTCTATAAAGAGATTAAACTAATAAACATATTTGGCATTTAGATTTTCACCAAGAAATATTAATTTTGGTTGAAACACAATTCATGAGACAAAACTTAGCATTATATTCATTCACACACATAACAGAAAATATAAAAACAAAATTTATTTAGTAAACAAAACTTCATTAATGATATTTTGTTTATTTCATCTTTAAATATACTCAGAGATTTGTTTGTAATTAAGCACAAAGCTATAAAATGGGCTATCTGTGCTCTGCCCACCACGGGTATCAAAACCTGGATTCTAGAGTTGTAAGTCCGCAGACGTGCCACTGGGGGGCATACTCAGAGGTAATGCGAAGAGACTAACTATGCACTTCACAATTTTATTATGTAGTAGGTTGGTTAGTGTATCATAACATGACATAATTTTAATAACCTCTTTTTTTCTGGCCTAGTATTAGTTTATGTTATCATTTCAACAACGTTTCTATTAATGTTTGTTTGTTTACGGCTAAGCTAGTAAGGTCATCTGCTATTGTCCTTAATTTTGTACCACTGACCAGAAGAAAGGCAAATGGCCAGTAGCACCCACTACCATTTTCTGGACTACTCTTTACCAAAGAACAGTGGGACTGACCATCACATTATAACGTCCCAAGTGCTGAAAGGGTGTGTTCAGTACGGTGTTTCGACCCTGCAACCAACAGATTGTGAGATGAGCACCATAACTACCAATACTTATAAAACAATAAAAAGGGCAATGCCATCTTGTATCAAGTAAAAGCATTTAATGAAGTTTTAAATTGACCTGTTATGGCAACCATGCATGAAGATGGCCAATTGGGGTTGCTGAAACGTATGGTCAATTGAAATGTTTTTAATTCATTCAGTATGATGTCATCCTTTTTTATTTTCTATCAATTCCAGAATGAAGTGGCTTTTTGTAATATTATCTAATTCTGGATCCTGACCTGCCAATTCAGGTGCTACAACCTACATGTAAACATTATTAAACACTTGTCCGTTTGTCTGTTGAATTTCATACAAAGCTATTTGAGGGCTATCTGCACTAGCCATTCCTAATTTAGAAGTGATAGACTAGAGGAAAAGCAGCTAGTCAACACCATTCCCCACCAACTCTTGGGCTACTCTTACCAAGGAAAAGCGGGATGAACCATCACATTATAATGCCTCCAAGGCCAAAAGGGTGATCATGTTCAGTGATGTGATTTGAATTTGCAACTCGAGCACTCTACCAGACCATACAAAACACTTTCTCTTCTAGTTTTGTTATAATAGCCTTATCTTCTGGAAGATTTTCATATAACAACTGCTACTAAAACATCAATCACAGCTTTATTTATATGATATTGTTTATTGACACATTTTAAGAACCATGCTAAAGCTACCTCACACTGTGCCACTAGACCAGTCTCGTGAAGACGAGCCCAGATACTCTGCAACCGTCCTCCATGCTCAGGATGATGAGAGTTTTCCCCACAAACACATTGGTGTTTTAACATCAAGTTGTCGTATGCTAAACCTAAATACATAAAAAACAAAAACAGGACACAATGTTAAGAGGATTATCAGATGAATAAATATTAAATTTACATTTGAATTTAAAAAGTTATGAAGGACACAATGATAAACATAGAACAAGAATAACAAATATATATATTACTCTACATATACTATTTATCCATTTTGGAAAAAAAATGATAATAATGGCTATCTCTAAGAGTTTGGTTAACGTAATAGTATTACTGGCATACACTCAAATCCAGAAAGTGTTATACAAGGTTTAAAGCTGTTTTTGTTGCATACCAGTATTTTTTGGTGTCGAGGTGCAGGACAAGAAATTATATTCTGAATCAGCACGTTGTACACAGTTCTTAACATCTGACTTTACCTGTAGTAAAGGGATGATGAGTGGATACAAGCTTCTCTTGAGAACTTCCGGCAGAATCAAGATTCACTAACGGACTGGACAAAGCACGAGACAATGGGCGAGCCACGTGGTTACGAGAAGCAAAAACTGGCCCTTCAGACAATTTAGAGAAATGATCTTCGATTGATTATCAAGATTATAACATAAAAATTTAAATACACAGGAGAAAAAAGTAAATACCATGGATAATGCCTTTCAATTCCTTTATAAAGTAATATATACATCCTAATTGTCTACATTTTTTACATATCTTGATTGTGCAAGGTCCTATATCCCGAATGAACCATTGAATTAAACAACATTTTTCCTAAATAAGCATCATCTATCTATCTAACATACCGTTAGGTACTTGAAGAAAATTGTCCTTGGTGGAACAGCTGGGTCCCATACTAACTTCATCGTTGTCGTCCTTTGATTTGGATTCAGTCAAGTCAATTGTTTCTACAGGGATAAAACATTTTTGATCTGAAGAAGAGGAATCCTTCATCTCTTGAGCCACGGCAGCTTCTGTTTCTTCCTCAACATTTTCGACTTGATTTTTGCTGCTGGCACGTGTCAGTACTGTCTGTCGGATGTGCTAAATAAATATAATAAAGCAATCAACACTGTGCCACACATACCTACAGAATAAGTTCAATACTGATCTGATAACTAATAGTCTGACCACACATATACCAACAGAATAATTTCAATACTGATCTGATAACTAATAGTCTGACCACACATATACCTACAGCATAAGTTCAATACTGATCTGATAACTAATAGTCTGACCACACATATACCTACAGAATAAGTTCAATACTGATCTGATAACTAATAGTCTGACCACACATATACCTACAGAATAAGTTCAATACTGATCTGATAACTAATAGTCTGACCACA